AAGGTGTGGGGGAAACTAAAAAATGGCGGAAAATTGGAAGCACTGAACGATAGATCTATAGAACGAATACACTTCCTTTTTTCCGGACCCGAGTCCAAATAACATTTTTCCATTCGAGTCCGAATAAGAATTTTTTTTATTCGGACTCAAGTCCGAATAAGATATTTTTTTATTCGGACTCGAGTCCGAATATGAAAAAATGTTATTCGGACTCGCAAATAACCAAAGAATCTCGAGATCAGAAACCGTTCGGAGAAATAAAATTCAACTTTATTTTCCCAAACGTTCGGAGAAATAGTCACTTCGTTTATTATATGAGTTATGGTGAGAAATCATGATATATCCAGGGCTCTTTGGAAATGGGCTTCCTGTTTGTTGCGCGCGCAACAATCTCGTGCAGGTCAGGTCGACCCTGTGCGAATAAAATTATTTCTTATTCGCACACCCTGTGTGAATAAAATTAATTTTGAGAACAGTCATCAAGACCCATCAGTAAAACTGTTTCAATCATGCGTTCACGTCATGTGACTTTCGTGTGTGAGTTCTGTGTGTGTCAGGGACCATCTGTTGACAGGATCAACTAAAGTGTCTGCACACTGGTCGAAGCGTCTTTCAAGACTTACGGGGGTGGGGTGGTGGGGGGGCTGGAGCTAGACACTTGGACTGGCTAAGAGTCTTTGACGTGATACATCAGTATTTTAAAAAAATATAATTAATAATAAAACACCACAAACACATACACAGATACACACACAGGGCCTATACATGGAATATATTTTTATGGACACCCCTGGAAAATTTTTATGTCAGCTTGGTAGTCACATTTTTGTGATTTGTCGTTGATCTTGATTTTTTTCCTGTGAGATCCGGACTTTTAGATTTCATAAAGTGGCAGCTGCAGTAGTACCACCATGTAATTCATATATATAAAAGTTATTATCCAACGAATCTTTATATATATATAATATAAGGAGTGTTCGTGTAATAAGATTTTTAGTCCTATCATACCTCAATATTATTGTGTTCTTGTTAATATTTCTTTTTATTGTAAAAGAATTTATAGGAGCCAGAATGTATAATCCTTTGTTTGAATGAGAATGCGTTGAAGTTGAAGTATTTTTAAAGCTTGGTAGAAAACTAAGAATGACTATAGAGGGCCCTATTGGGCTCAATAAATGTTATTAGAAAATATACACGATAATAACCTGATGATTAGCCCAGATATTTGGTGCTTTCCTTGTGATGCTGTGCTATAATTTGTGTTGATAAGTGTTCAATGGGTATTATTTCCTTTCTTGATGGTCTATGCTTACATATATTATATTTGTATTATCATTTGGAATTCTTTTGTGTTTTTAATTCGGGTAAATAATTTAATTTTTCATCGCTATAGCCAATGACTTTTTTCCATTATCATTTTATCATGATGTTTTTTTGCTTATTTTATTAATTATTCTAATAAAAGTTCATTAAAAAGATAATTTATACTCATTTAATACCTTGACTGAATGAATATTCTTTGGTAATGAACAATAACATTGATAGTGTCCGGTCCCATGCAAGTCCAGCACTCTCTTCTCATCTACACTGTCACAGAGCCTTTTTAAAAAGAAATTAATGTATGGCTTTATTTTCAGACATTTGTATTAAAGATAAAGAGCTCCCCTCTCCCCATTATTCTAGCAAATATACAATTTTTATATCTCACAATTTTGTCTATCATGTCCAATAGGTGACAAAAAGTTTAGACTAAGACGCAGTGTATATTGTGTATTGATTTTTTGTTTCTAGTATTAACCTCTGCCTGAGAATCCATAAAATCCAGTCGTTTTTGGGAGTCAGAAAGAAACAAATTCTTCAGCCCACCATGCTTTTGGTCAACTTTCAAGGGGCACCACTTCAAATTCTAACAGTTAGCATCTTAATTAAACCACTCTTCTTCATTCTGAGTGTTAATGTAATTTGTGAGTATTCTTAATGTGTATACAAGTTTGTTTTTGTTTTACCATGATATGAGGGAAAGAGATGCCTGAACCGCTCCAAATCCACTCGAGAGATTAGGATGGCCCACCACTTCAGCAAAGCTCCCAAATACTTACATCTATAGATATTTTCTTGAAAGTTGTGTTGCAGCGCATTAATTTTGCCATCCACTACTCCATACCTTTTTAAAAACCCTTTTTACATCCATCCTGTTTCCGTCTACTTCGTTAAAAATATTTCCCGAGCTATAAATTGTGACAGCATCACAGCACCTTTTCTCACTGTGTCTATCAAGGTACAAGTGTCCTTTGAGAGTGTGCAGTGCTGTATTTTAATATATAAGTAGGGAGAGATTGTGAAAGTATCTTTGCTTCCATAGCCTTGCCCTCTCTTTCCATCCCTTTCGTTTTCATACCTCTTCAAATCTCACTTTGCAGTGTAATAGTGCTAGGTTGCATGCCCCTGCTTGAACAGGGCTTCATTGTTTCACAGTGTTGTCATTATGGTCAAGAGAGATGTGCTTAGGATTAGAAAAGTCAGTGTTTTTCCCTGCTCAAACAGGGTTAAAATTTTAATACGTTTAGGTTAATATTTTATAACGAGTGCTGAAGCATGTAAATTGTTTTAAAAAAACATCCTGTTACACAGCTATTGAGAAGGCTTTTTGAGTGATATATATACAGTATAGATCTACATATTAACAGAGAGGCTAATGTCAAACAATGCATATCAACAGTTTAGTATAAAGGTGTTTCATTACATATATGTAATATTATTCATTGAATTTAAATATTTAAAGGGCAGTGCTCCTTTTCTGACATAGATAGGGGGGAAATGAAAGCTGTATATAATATATATTGTTTACCTCTTCTTTCATTTGCTAAACTGTGACTGGCAGCCGTTTGCATTTTGTGATATATATATATATATATATATATATATATTGATTCTTTGAGTTTGATTCAAAGAGAAACAATTCATGGTCATGGTAGTCATTTAGTCAGGGAGGGAAATTCATCATATCAGTATCAACAAACAAGAAATGGAAGAAATAAGATTTACCAATTGCACCCTATTGTGCTTGCATGAACTGGCTCTGGCAATGTTTAATTCTTTTGTTCCTTCAAAACCAGAGTGTAGGACGATGACAGCATGATGGAGACTGTGTCCCAAGAAATGGCAGAGAACAAAACCACAGAGAAAGAGCCTCAAGAGAACAATAATGACTTGGTGACAACAGAAGAGATGGATACAGCTGAGGTCATCAATGATAATGAGATTTCAACAGGAGGAACTGATGAGAATGGCAATGAAAATGATAATGAAGGTACGCCCTTTCTGCATTTATGGACAGTTCATGGCTTTTGTTTGTACTGGCTGTTGTCGCACACTTTGTTACTTTGTTTACAAACTCGGCCAACACGAGTCGATCCATGGTTAGAATTTCTTTTCTGGGTCAGTTCCTTTATCTTAGTCAAAGTGCTTCACCTTCAAAGCAATATAATATATACCACATGTATAATTAGATATTATATATAATATTGTTTATTCAACTTTGAGTAAGTGTTTAGTATTGATTATGAAAACAAACAAAAAAACAGCGTTACACAAATTCATGTATTTAATATCAATTGGAACCTGATCTTGCAATTTCCTTTTGATCTTTTTAATGCACCATGAAAGCAGTACCAGTTAAGGATTCATGTATTAATGTGCTGTGAGTCCTAAAATAAATCATATAGTAAACCAAACATACACCAAGAGGATGCTATGTACATGTTTAGTTTGAGGTCAGTTTTCTAATCATGAAAGTTGTTGTTTGTACATGTATGTTAAATTGTTGTTTCTATTGTTGTTCTCAGATTTACAGCTTGGGGACACCTCAAATCTCACCGTCGGTGAGCGCAATGAATTGTTTCAAAGAGGGATGAACTATGAACAGAATAAACGTCCAAGTCTTGCACTGCAGTGCTACTTGGGGTGCATCAAAGGCCTGAAAAAGAAGACTGGATTTGTTCTACTGCCTCAGTGCCTTCACAATGTGAGTACAAGTACAAGACATTTGAGTTGATGGCATGACAAAAGTTAGGGCATTATCGGCCTGTGCATTTCATATTGTGGGTTGTTTTAAAAAACATTTCCAAGAGTTGGGATTACTGTTTTTCTGAAACTTCTAAGATTTTTTATTCTCCTGTCATATGAGGAAAAAGGGGGCATTTGCAACTTTTGAAAGCTCTGCTTCTATTTTTACTTTTATTAGGAAATTTCTAAAATCTTTTTAATTGTCCTCTCATGTAGAAAAAAAGGAGCATTTGAAACTTTTGGAAGCTCTACTTTAATTTTACTGGGATCACAACTTTAAGCAAGGACATTTTCTTTTGCTGTTCTTGTTGAGGGAGCACTCTCAGTATTCTCTTTTTGTGTGGTCCCTGTCACAAGTTAACCTGCGGGTGGTTGGCGGGTGCTCAGGTGTGGTTGGCTCATTCTTTCCTATCAAACATTTATCGTCTTTATCTCCCCTCCTTCTTTTTTGTGTTTGTTACTCTCTTGTAACACCTAATCTTCGATGCTTATATGACCTTATTGTGTTGCAAGTGCCGTAACACTTCTACTAAA